AAACACCTTTCATACATACTGACGTTTGCAACTTGTATCTTAAGTTCCTCAAACTTATTTTCAATCAACACAAGTACGGTTATCTTTTGTGGTTATGACGACCAGGACAGCACTAAGACATCAGAGCAGCATTCTCGGTACAAGCATTTTTGTCCTGAACAATGGGAACGAGGTTTATGGGGGTAAAAATTGGGTTTTCTTATTTACTTTACCCTCAAAACACAAGGTTTCCCAATTTTTCTCTAGAACATTTTAAATAGCTTAAAAACTAATAATTTAGTATATTACCGTGTTTTTGTATGGTTATTAGTTTCTGATAAAAATACTAAAATTGTAAATTTAAAATTCCCATGTTATTCTTATGTAGAATAGTGTAAAATGATTTTGTTTGTTTGTTAATAGATATATTTTGATAAAACTTGTCAAATTTATTTGTTTTATACTAGGCTAATAATATTTTACTATAAACACACTTTATTAGCCTCCATGTAGCAGCAAACCTAAGTATTCATTAAACTCAATGCAATTTTAGATTTAATTGAAAATCGGGCAAATGAAAAGTCGCTTAGTCTGCTTTCTCTTACTCCTTGTGATCCTTCCCTCTTATATAGTAAAGAATTACAGTTATTTTCAATAATCCCCTTTTACACAGAGCATGGAGGTAACTAATTTTATTACTTTATGAATAAATGTTTAAATATCGTAAAAAGTAATAATATTTCGAAACACCCTGTATGGTGTGGTTTAATACACTTAAAACTACTCTCAATCGATTTAAAATAACTAAAACCATCGAAAACCACACCTCACTCGACCTTAAACGTAAAAACAAAATTATTCAGGAACAAGGGCCCTTCGGAACAAAAAGGGCCCCAAAAAGGGCCTTAGGACGCCCAAAATTTTGGGGACTCATCGGATCTTCATTTCTCATATTATTAGTAACTCACAGGTAAAATTTCATGAATGTACAAATTTTGTTGTTTATAAAACCCTATTTTACCTGTACTAATAATTAAATGGGATTTAAAAGCAGTAACAGTTTGAAAATTTTATCTACTTATGGATAAAAAAACTAACCTATGATGAAAAGCTTCAACAAATTGAGCTTATGAAACGTCTTTGACAATCTTTCGTTTAGTGAAAATCAACATAATTCCAAAACAATGATTATTGATTAAGTGTAATCTATGAACGAAAAGTTTGATAAGTATATTTACTAAGGGATAGTAATCTAAATATAAAAAGTACGTAGGAAGAGAATTTGGGCTGTAACCCTCATTCCTCTATGGTAATAGTAGTATAGGCCTACGCAACGATCCCGTAAACGTAATCTTTACGACACAAGTAGAATTTAAGGCACGAACTTTGGCGAGTGCCTTAAAAACTACTACGATTGCCGTAAAGACTAGGCGAGCTGCTTACACTACTTTACCTACGAACGATTTTAAATTACGTTTGTAAAACTTCATTACCCATACTCTTTCTTTCTGTTACCTTTTCAGGGAATAGGTCTATCAGCATTCTTACCATGCGTAGCCTACTGTTTCAGATAAAAGTAGACAAATATTACGTACTAAATGTATTGAAACAGTTTACTTACAAAATTTAAATTCAAACAAATAAAATTTAAGTATCTCTCAACTAATGTTATTATCATTGACAATATTCAATTAATATTTTTGAACAATTATTACTTTTGTAACGTTTCTTCGATTTAGGTCGTACGGTAAATATTATTACAAGCTGTTAGAGGACTTTCTTCTATGTCGCATATTTCACTAGAATCATATTATTACAAGCTGTTTGTGGACTTTCTTCTATGTCGCATATTTCACTAGAATCATATTATTACAAGCTGTTTGTGGACTTTCTTCTATGTCGCATATTTCACTAGAATCATCTGAAATCTTCAAAATCGTTCAATAAACCTTCCTGCAACTGTTGGTTAGAAAATCGTTTAGTTCAATTTTGTCATGTGTGAGTTTCCAGTGGAGGGTGGCAATTCTACAATATGTTCAATCGTTACCAGCTGATAATTTGGCGTTCGGAGCATTACAATTTTACTTCTTTTCTCCAAATCGTTGAACCCCATTGCTCCGTTACTTCACCAAACTAGTGCTGTAAAGTAAGTAAACAATGCAGTAAATTAAATCTTTTTAATTCTAAAAATGAATGTTTTAATGCTAGTTTAAATCACCGTCGTAGATTAAAACTATAAGTAAACAGTCCCAAACTAATTTTACTTTTAATCTTGATCATTTATGTTAGTTGCCTATTAAACTATCCATTTTGAATAAAGGATTACTCGTCTACATCGTAGATTTGAAAACTCTTCATCCCAACTATGGTAAATGCTAGTTGACAATCAAAATATTAAGGATACTACCTACCAGAAAAATGCAAAATTATCAAACATACGTAGCAATTCTACTCTGAGAATGTCGACACACAATCATTAGATAAATTCAATTCATATAACCTCTCCTAAATTATCTGTGTGCACGTATAATACATTCAAATGTATTTATTTATCTATACCTAAATGAAATCAATTCAAACATTTTTCATTATTATTATAGGACATTGATGTTTAGAAAAAAATAATTGTATAATAACTTCACCAGGCTACATTTATGATTGTATTAGGACATTTTGAAAGGCTGTACATTAAATAAGAGTTACTATTAGGCGTATAGTTCGTTATTAAATATCTGAACCACAACATTACTCTCAGTTGTTGATTTTGTGTAATATTTTTGAAATAACTCGCATCTTGGTTTCACTGAAATCGGCAGCAACTTGAAGTATAAACCTAATACAGATTAGGTTGACAGCATAAAGACATCATTCATCTCGAAGTAAAAATCAATACTAGTTTGATTCGGGAAATACTCGTATTTAGTAAAACATCGTGACTTTATGAAATGGATTTTTTTTCATGAAATTATTATGAACGGATCAACTAGGTGTTCGTGTTTTGGAAGGAGGGGAGTAGGGTCAACCACTGGATCAATGTACTACTTTGTCAATCGTTTTAATCTGGATGTAAACAATTGTGTTGGCAAATGAGAAACAATTAAAGTGACTATATGTAATCCTGTGCAACATTAGGAATATTACAACATGTTACAATATTATAACATGTGGAACATTAGGACCTTCTCAATATGTTTAATGTAGTTTATTTTATTGACGTTTGATAAATAAAGTGAGCTTATGATCTTGGGTTATTGTGTTTTTAACAATGATTGTTATTATGCAAATATATGTACATTCCTCCAAAAGATTCAGATATCCGCTCTGGAAGGATTGAAAAGTAACATATCGTTGTCTGAGATTTATGTGAAACAATGCATTAATATGTTGTGAAATAATTGGTTTGTTAATGAATTATTGGTACCCGTTGCACTCATTCAATAATGGTGTTTATTTGTATATTTTGTCAACGCAAACTTACGCTTAATCTTGTTTTAGCTAACAAAATATTCCACTTGTTTAGCTGTTTATTTTTAGTTATACATTTTAAAACCTATTTCTATTGCATAATATATTACATTTTGTAAATATTGTCTATTTTATACGAAATAAAGGATTTTGATTTGATTTGATTTGTTTTTTATTCAATCATATTAATACCTGCTAGTGAGTTTTAATCCTAAATTATATACAACATATTTAGAATCATAACAATTATTCTAAACTCAAAATTACATAAGCAAACTCTTATGAATTTTTACAGGAATTTGGTTAAAACTGTAGCCTTGACTATTATATAAAATACAACATTTTAAAGTTGTTGTCGACGCATGAGGCTGTTCAATTCCTATGCACAACAAGACAAACAAAAAGATTGTTTTCTTACGGCTAACAATCCGTTACTAAAAGATTCCTCTTACATGAAAACCTATTTGCACCCAGAATGCAGTTCATATTGTTCTCTTGGCTTTTATGTTTTAGTCATTCGCTGCTTCCACGCTTACTTTATAAGTTGCTTCAAGAATCATGTATCTCCATTGCAATAATGCAATGCAACCTGTATGAATTAAATAAATGTTCTACTTCTGATTTTGGAAACTACCAAGTAACGTTTTAGTTCTACCCTTCCTACACGATTCATACGAGCAGTTTGACAGAGACCGTGTTTATGGTCAGTTTGTGTTGATTTATATTTACCCTATGATTAGCCAGGTGAAAAGTGTATTACAGTTCATGCCTAACTATTACGTTAGCTATAGCTATATCAGAGTGCACTCGTAGTTATAACTTGTAAGTACATTTTTGCAGCTTTGTACGCAAAAACTCTTAATGTCTTTGTAAGTTGTTTAGTTTGAGAAACAAATTAAAGTTTCTTGCCAGCTAGATTTGTATTTTATATCTATACTGGGTTAGATAAAACCTTTTGTGCCATAATACATACTAGGACATATTTGTTATGACTAAGAGTTAACTTTCCAAACAATATCACAACGCCTTCCATTTTTCAGGTAAAGTGTAAAAAAAAGGCCATGTACTTTGCATGTTAAAATGACGGTTCTTAATTTGGTTTCACTTCACTTATAATTTTATTAAGAAAAGCATTAGCTGGTACTAGAAAAAAAATATTTTTTATCTGCTTAAATATAAAATAAATACACATTCATCCATTATATTGCAGTTGACATTATCGCGTTCACTGCACCAGAGATATTCCAGTTTCACCTTAACGGAGGGCCCAAATTGTTCTCTCGCGGAAAGTCTGCTTAAAAGCCGGGATTCCATTATTCTCCATACATACAATAATAAAGCTGTGAGTCCAACAAGCAGTGATCATAATACAAGTTACCGAACACTGTGGATCATCAGAGCGTCCTGGACTGCCTAGCCGTAAGTACTAGGTAAACATTTGCCACATGCACTATCTTTATCACTGCATTCAACACTGGCTTGCTCAATGTACTGAGATCACCACCCACGCCAAAAATCTACGGTGGCAGGCATTTAGGTTTTTGTATGGTACTCACTCTGTAAGTCGTCAGCTGAGTTGGGGTGAAGTGAGAGAGGAGCGCTGTCCACAAAACTGCGGGGTCTGCTAACTAGAAGCAGCACAGAAACCAGGGTCAGGGCAAATCCCTGCATTGTGCAACTCCTTACTCCTGCAAACAGACGATTACATTTAAATCGTCTAATAAGTAAGATGAGTTAGAGGTTTTCTCAGTAATCTTACGCTACTGTATTTTACACCCTGCATTAGGGCATAATTGCATGATATGGTACCGAGCTCATCTCTAATATGATAAAATATTGAAAATTCTGCAACTATTACTGTTCCTTTGAGATCACAGGTTCATAAAGGTCTTGGATATTTGTTGTCTAACAAGCTCCCCGAAAATGTTCAAGGGGCCCATTATGTATAGCTAGGAACATTCAGAAGAAAAGTTAAACAATTATTACTTTCATTTATAGTATGTATATGAATTCCTTATGATATGGAGAGCTCCAGCTATTTATTAAAGTTCGCTTTTGCTTTTCATATTATATAGTTGAGCTAGTACGCCCAACTGAAATTTAGTGTATACATGGCCGTAAATCTTTTCATAAATGGGCAAGCTTCACTCAACTCAGCGTCACTTAACCTCACACGAAAGGCTAGAACTAGGAAATATTTTTAAATTCACGGTAAAATTATAATAAAATATTCATACGGCAGTAGTTATCGTTGAGTTTTTTATTTGACTGCATTAAGAAGGTCCAGTCTCTATTTAGTTGTTTATATTACAGTACATTATATATATATTACTCCCGAGGTCCAAGGTTCAAACCCCACCAATCACCATTACGTTTTACTTATGTTATAACTCCACGACCCTCTAGGACTAGCCAGAAGGGAAAATAATAACTTAGTTTAATATTAAAGTTGACAGTCCAACTTTTTTTATTCCCGGTCAGAGTTTACACAGTACCCACTACTTATGATGGATTATTGTTGACTTGAAGTCACTAGCAAACGGTGTTGAACTTCACAGAAGTTTACCCATGACTCAGTAATGAGTTAGCCGAGGCTCTTTGCGTGTGGAGCCCAGCAAACAGCTGGTCTGGGCCTAGGGCTCTTAAGAAAGGGGTTGGAAGTTGGCCAGATTGCGTGAGTCACGAATCTTGGTCGACCCACTTAAGTAGAACAACTTACAGGAAGTTGAACTCGTGTTACGACGTATTTAATAAATTCGTGGAATACATAACGAAATTATACGAAGTTTGGAGCAGATGTGCCAATTAGGATTCAGCAATACATGAATATAATATTACACGATTTTAATCAGCTACACTGTTAAGATATATTTTTACAAACCCAAAGATATAAGGGGTTATAGTAACATATGCATATATTTTGTATTGTTAAGTAAATTATTTAGATTTAATATACTATATTTATATTTAGGTTATATATTATCTCACATTTAATACTCTTTTGATTATATTGAATATTTTAAATAAAGCATTTATTTAGTATTCAAATTCTTCTTCTAACCTTTAGTGAATTGGAAAAGTGCATGAATGACTGTACCATAATATTGTATTGATCAGCTTGTGGGCTTCACTCACCTTATTTATTAATCCAGGACTCGTCAAAATATAATACACAAAGACACACAACACACACATACACGCACATACTCCGACGTTTCGCGGAACCAAAACAACGTCCCGCTTCCTCAGGGAATTAAAAATTTATGTTTCTCGCGTACACGAGCTGAACGCCTAACCACGACTGCCGGATCAGCTGCCGGAGCGGCAGTCGTAATTATATAAATTATAAGTATATCAAATAATTGTATGGTATAAATTATAACATTTCGTCTACACCGGCCGCGTTCCGCTGAGACCTGGTATTGTAGAAACAGATAAGCATTGAAAGTAACGTAATGAACAATGGTTCACTTTGAAACAAATGATTAAGCAAGGATAGCTCAATGCTCTCTATCAGGTACGATAACTTTTGTCTGATAGGCAACTCGTTAACACATCTTCTAAACTCTACATCTCAAAACTAGTTATTGTAGCTTGAAAATATAGCTTGTTTAACAGAGTACATAAATTGGAATTTGCAAAATAATGAAGGTTTAGATCATCAAATGAACTCATTATTATACCAAATTAGATAAAAAATAGTTTATTTAAAATTAAAACTAAACGAAACACAATAATTTTAAACGTGAAAAGAGAGTCGCAAGTTATATGATTTGCACCAGGAGAATAAGGCCTTCGTCAGATCGTTTGACGGTAATTTCAAATTTTTAGTTGCGGAGTGATTTTTTCACGTAGAGCTTCATATAAGTTAAAATAAGTTGATGCACACCTAAGGCCCTTATAAACCAGTACTGAACATGGAATAATTTATCAGTATCAAAACCTAAGTAAAGGCAACATGAAACTCGCTTGTGAATAAAGGCCTTTTTTATTTAAAGCACCATTGCAGCAAACCTACAAACTATGTAGATGGGTAGTTTACTTATTGGACTTTTGTTCAAGCCGATAAAGATCTATGGCTGCACCTAGATTCATGTCCAGTACATATACAGGGTGTCTCAGACCACCCGGCCGGCTTGTATAGCACCAATATGAAAGCAAATGGAAACCTAATTGCAACTGTAACCCCCTATTTTGACCCCAAGGAATTCAGCTAAATTATTTTCAACCCCTAAAAAGCACCCCAAAGGGCAGATTTTGTGGGGTGGGGTTGGTTTTTGGGAAATTTTCAAATGTAAAGGGGGGTCGTGTTATACCTCTTTTTAAAGGTCCTTTAGTCCTGAGAATTTTAGTGGAAATAGATTTAAATTATCTTCATCCCTATTTACAGGGTGTTCAAAAACGTACAAAAAATAGACCTTTGAACTACTTTTCACTGTAAAGAGGTGGAATTTCGTGGGGGGTTCAAATTTTGATAACACTTTAATTGCTAAATGAGCTTTCAAAAAACTCTGGTTTCAACCTTTTTGCTATCTTTTTACTTATGTTACGCATTTTCAAACTTTATGAAGTTTCAAAAGCTGTTATCTCAAAAATTTCAAATGGCAACATGGGTTTCATTACAAACCACATTGTAGCCCTTAAAATTTGCTATAATTTTTGTATTTAATGTTTTTTTGTATCTTCATTGGTTAAAGAGATATAACGAAATTAGTGTATTTTAATGTTTTATTAAATGGTATTCAAAGTGTTTGCTGTTGCAAATGTACACCACTAGGTCATAATTAAAACAAATCTTGTCTAAAAAAATAAAATAGTACTCAGATTGTTGATCTTGGAAGATTGACAAAGGTAAGAACACAACTGCAAATATTCTTTGAATGAATAATTTGTTTGAATCAGCATTAATAGCCTACATACCGATGGACTTCTACAAATGCTTAAATTGCCTTCAATTTTGTTCCATGCAAACCCTAACTCTGTTTATGCACGTAGTACTTCTTCTCCACTAATATGGTACTGTATTGCTATTTTACTACCGCAGGTGCATTCACCTCTCGTACAGATCCAGTAAGTTCCTTATAATTTGTTTTATCTGATCAAACGTGACGAGTTTCACACACACTCTCATTGATTTCATGATTATTTGTTTTATTTACCAGTAGCATTTATAGACAGTATTCATTCAAAGCACTATTAGAATTTTGTAAATTGTAAAATAACTAAGAATATTTGCAGTTGTGTTTTTTCCCTTTATTAATCCTCCAAGTTTAACAATCTGGGTAGTATTTTAATTTTTTAACATAATTAGTTTTAATTGAGACCTAGACGTGTACATTTACAACAGCAAACACTTTGAATGCCATTTAATAAAACATTAAAATACACTAATTTCGCTATATCTCTTTAACCAATGAAGATACCAAAAAACATTACATACAAAAATTATAGCAAATTTCAAGGGCTACAATGTGGTTTGTAATGACACCCATGTTGCCATTTGAAATTTTTGAGATAACAGCTTTTGAAACTTCAAAAAGTTTGAAAATGCGTAACATAAGTAAAAAGATAGCAAAAGGGTTGAAGCCAGAGTTTTTTGAAAGCTCATTTAGCAATTAAAGTGTTTGTCAAAATTTGAACCCCCCACGAAATTCCACCTCTTTACAGTGAAAAGTAGTTCAAAGGTATATTTTTTGTACGTTTTTGAACACCCTGTAAATAGGGATGAAGATAATTTAAATCTTTTTCCACTAAAATACTCAGGACTAAAGGACCTTTAACAAGAAGTATAACACGACCCCCCTTTACATTTGAAAATTTCCCAAAAACCACCCCCACCCCCCCCCCCAAAATCTGCCCTTTGGGGTGCTTTTTTGGGGTTGAAAATAATTTAGCTGAATTCCTTGGGGTCAAAATAGGGGGTTCCAGTTGCAATTAGGTTTCCATTTGCTTTCATATTGGAGCTATACAAGCCGGCCGGGTGGTCTGAGACACTCTGTATATAAATATATAGGTCACTTACTGTCTTTGCTATCCTGATTTTTTTATAGCACTACGGCCGTTTTGGACTACTTCATCGTAGGTTGCGTTGTCGTACACTAAACCGAATTACTGTATTTAAATTGTTTACAAAAATTATTCATTTGCATTGCGTCAACCGTTAATAAATAAAACGTGAACACGACGTTTCGTTCGTGTCTTGTGATGTTTATCTTTTATTTATAAGCCCGAAAATTTTATTTATGTTTTATTTATAAGACGAGTAATCTCCATAAACGCCGTAGTGCTATAAAAAATCGGGATTGCGAAGACAGTAAGTGACCTATTTATTTATATACATCTACACGCAATCTGCCACACGGAAAAATCATAATACAAATAATATTGTGTTAATGAGTTCTAAAGCAGCTGCTACAAGACGAAAACACACTAAACACATTTTAAATTAATTACAACAAATTAAATTAAAATCAAGAAATGTGTCATAATGTTTCATAAGGATAGATTCATGGAAGGAAATGGTCTTTGTTTTGAATTTGGGAACTCATAACATGTTACGACGTTTCTTTACTCCTCAGAGCACTTATCAGTGAGGGAGCGAATTAATGAAATAAGAGTGAAGTATTTAGCTAAAATACAAAAATATTTAATTAAATTTTAAATTTATTTATGTACGAATCACTGCTAA